TAATGTAATCACGTGACAGACTCACAATGCCTTGGCAGGAAACGACTTAGTCATGTGCTGGATAATAGATTTTAATAGTAAAAAAAATTCTAGCAATAGATTTTAATAGTAAAAAAAAGAAATTACCGAAGTTCCCAAGAAAATTAAATTTTGGCATTAAATGACCCCTTAGGAGTTGATATGCTGTTAAACAAACCAAACCAAACCAAACAACTGCAATGGTGTCACTCTCCATCTCTAAAATGTAAAGCCTTTATCCAAGCAAAGAACAATCCTATAGGCACTCACCATACTTCCTGACCATTTACCAACCATAATATAAAACCCAGGAAAAGAGGGTTTCAAGAGCAGTTCTCACTACCATTTTGTCAGAAAGTGAGATTGGCTGGTCTACTCTAACCACTAAAAAACTAATCATGATGACTACCTACAACAAAGAAGGAAGAGTCTTACTTTCCTTCTTTCTGTTCCAACGTATCATGAGCTATGAACTCTGTTGCACAAGAAGGATATGTCATGGGTATGATAATAATCTACATTTGGCAGCAAGGCCTCTGATCAGGAGGCTTTGAGGAGCGTGCAACCACCTCTTAATTGCTGTTCTTCCCAGGTCCACACTGACCAGGGGTGGTAGCACCTGTTAGGGTCCCAGCTATGTGTAAATAGTTAACCCTCAAACTGGGGTCAAAACACTATGAAAGTATAAAAAATTTTATCGTAAAAATACCAGCAATACATTTTCATAGTAAAAAAAAAAAAGACACAATACATTTCTGTAAGGAAAAAAATATTAACATCAATACATTTCATTAGCTGATGAAGGTCGAGGATAGCCTGCTCTGATTCATATAATTGTAGAGGATAGTAGGAGTCGTCTGGTACTTGCTGGAGTGGTCAATTAGTTTTGTCTGTATCAATGCTAGAAAAAGCATTGATACAGACAAAAAGAGCCACCCTTTTTTTTTCTTTTTTTTTTTTTTTTAAAAAGATGGAATACCAGGCCATGAAAACAAAATGACCCTCATGTTCAAAAAGATATCAAACAGTTCTTATGAGCAAATCAGTTGACATGAACCTTGTAGGGATGTGCAGGGCATTTATCTCCCTTTGGTTAAGATGAAAACACATGATACTTTCTAAGTGATATCAGTTCGTGGGGTGAAAAAAACCTCAGTTGCTATTTAGCATGCATAGAGACAAGACATGTCTGTCCATGCCATGATAGGCCGCTATGGTGCTAGATATCATCTGAAGCCCACAGCAGTAGGGAGAACAGAAGAGCCTACAGAACACCTCAAAGTTTGTAGAATGTATCACCAGCCTGGCCATTTTCCCGTCAGGAAATATTACAAATAAGACTCTCTCGCTTCTTACCTAGCACCCCTCTTTTGGACATTTTTGAACTATTTTGAATTGTGAAATAAGCAAAATATCAGAACATTCTACACCACCAGAAATGTGATGGATTTGATGCTGGAAAGAACAGAAACTTCAAAATCTATGAATGGCAATTGATTAAAATTTAACTTTAGTGTTCCAACCTTGAGACTTGAGTCAAATCTCAATATGTTAAAAAAATATTAACAGCAATACATTTTTGTTAAAAAAAAATTAATATTTATTTCTTTTTTTGAGTGATGAGTGAGTCCTTTCGTATTCAGTGTAGCAAAAAATTTGTTATGAAGGTAGATATGGTGGCAGTCTGGAGAAATGTCCATTAGTGGCAATTTTGAAGTCAGAGCATGATAGGGATAGTAGTAATGTTAAAAATATTTCAATATCAATCTACTGGGTTTTTCTCGGCCCTAAGCAGGGCAGAAATTTCATTAGCTGATGACCTTAACTAATTCTTCATGCATCATGCATGGCTTATTTTTCTGGCGTCTGCATCTCTGTTTGTCACTCTAGCCATCTCTTCTCTGCAATCCTCCTTCTAGCCCAGAGGTGTCAGCTTATATCTATTTTGACCTAGCTCAGAGACACTGGCACAAACATTGGTTTTGGCTAACATTAAAAGTATCTTTGTGTCAAGTTTTTTGATTGGCAAAAATTATTTTATTTTCCATGTTCTTTTCTTTTCATTTTTTTTTATAGCGAAAGTTATGCATGGAGCCTTCCTGATTTTTGGGATTTGATTCCTGATTTTATAATTTTTCATTTATTTCATCCTTTCATAAAATAAATATTTTTTAGATCTATTATCCTACTGTAAACATGTTTTGCTTTTTGCTTTCAAAATACAAATTTTTGGTGCTTTTTACTTTTACTACACTTTTTCTGAAATGAGACCTGTAGACATTTTCTGCAAATAAAACATGAAATTTTTAGAAGCTAATGTTTAAAAAAAATAGATAAAAAGGGAAATGATGCTTCTACTATATGCTTAGAGATTCTTGATAAAATATAAAGAAGAATCAGTAATATTGTCAGCAATGACCTGGCATCTAAGCTTCAGTCACTTTCCCACTGCCATAACCTAGCTTCCCTATGCCTTTTCTATAAATATTTCCATGGTAGTTGTTCTAATGAGCTTTTCTCTTTGGTACTTAACCTTTATGAATTAAAGCATATTACTAGATTGGTGGCAAGGTCTGATTGTAAATGCTGCTTGGGTTTATGCATTGATGTTATCAAATGTAATTGCGTGTTCTAAGAACATTTATCTATTATACATTTAATGATTTAAGATGAGACAATAAAGCCACTAAGACTCCAATTGTGTATCAACAATAAAATATATATTGAAACAATAACATACAAAACAAGCATGCAATGGTTTGTTGTAATTAAGGGAGAAAAAGTTGCTTCCCTTCAACTGTATTCTGATTAAGATTGAATGTTCAAAATAATTTCAGGATTCTATATTGAATAGAGTCTGGTATTAGAATAAAATACAGTTAATTAAGAAGTGTGTTGTTTTGAGTAAGTAAGAGACTTCTGGTTCATGAACTTGGCATAGTCACAGAGAGGAAGAATATGTGTAATGTGGTACAAAAATCTGTGTCTGTGTGTGCATTGTGAGTAAAATTGTGGATTTGTGTAGACAGGCGTAATAGCTGGACTCTACTGATGACTTGTAAGAAAGTCGGTAAGAGTTGTTGGCAACGTTTGACCGCACAGTTAAGATGGGAGCTCTTGAAGATTACATCTTGGCAGCAAGGAAAAAGATGAATGAAGAGAAACATAAGAGAGGCTTATTCTTGTTTTGTTTATATAAGGCTGTGTCACATGTGACAGGCTCCGAAGCTTGTTCGCAGGAAAATTATTCCTCACGTGCCGGCGATTTGATTGGTCGGAATTGACCAGTCAGCAAACTAGTTTTGAGGAGATTAGCCAATAAATGCTTGCTGTATGATTTGTATGTATGTATATGTGATGGTGATGATGATCGCTACATGATCATTTTACAGCTGATATGGCTTGCTGTAACTGGAAAGTCTATACTCACAGTTTCTTCAATTTATTTATCTATTTCTTTTCCTCATATTATCTCACACTCAGTTAACACTTGTGCCTTTATAGTGGACCGTGTGTGTTTGCGTGTTGTTGTATTAGAAACACGTGTGTAACTCCTGGTAGAATATTAAAAGGTTCAACTATAAGAAAATGGCCGGACTTGAATTAAGTCCAATTGAAGATAAAGAAGACAAACAAAACCGATATACAGTGTAACCCGGATATAAGAGAGATTTTCTCTGGTTCCAAATTAGAGCCTGTGTTAATGTATATAAAATAGACCAAACCCGGATATAAGAGAAACCCGGATATAAGAGACTTCTTCTCTTGTCCCGACAACTCTCTTATATCCAGGTTACACTGTATATATATATAAACAAATATATGTATTAAACAAAACAATTTTACAATGGACAATAACATTTGTGTGTATGTAAACATTGGTGTCTGTTCTTTGGTGAATGTTCGTATGTACGTGTATAATGTTCATGGCATCTCCCACAAATGGGAACACGCAAATCTTCTAAGAGAGCTTACATTGTAGTCACTAAAATAAAGAAATGAAAAAGAGAACGAGGCGAGAAGTCGCCCAGTATTTATAGTATAGAGAGAGTGACTCTTAGTGACAATTTGGGAATTAAGGAGGAGCTAATTCCAACACCTTAGTTGCTTTATTGCCTTGCTTGTGGTGAAATGATTAAAAAAAGGAAAAGAAAATTAAATTTTATTTTGAAAATTAATTGTTGTCATGATTTTAGATAAATGACACAACTCAGCTCAAAGCATCATTATAGATTGAGGTCAGGTGTACGTTGGATGATGTGTTATGGTTAGCAAGCTTGTCCCGTTAAATTGAGTAGTGAGTTCGATCCTCATTGGTTACTACTTAACCCCATTTACATTGACTTGATCCAGTTTGTGGTAATGAAGCCAAACTTTCCTTTATAGTCTCGTTTCTAAGAACTGTTCTAATCTAAATACACACAAAAAGATTACCTAAGAAGAGTCTCTGACTAATAACAGAAATCGTTACTACTACGGCACCATAGTTGAGAAAAATGAACGTCACACCGAACGAGATTTCGCCTCAGCAGCGTCTAAAGTATTAAAAACGAGATATAGGAGAAGTAACTGAGACAATCTGTTATCTACGGTAGCACAAAGACGAAATAATAGTTAATGTTCGATTTACTCTTAAGAAGTGCAAAAATAGTTGATACAAAAGAAACTGAACTTGAATTTAGAACATTTATCATATAACGTTGTACTTTTGGAATATAAAATATAAACACCACAAAATGACCTAATTCAACGGAATGAATAGTTTGTATAATTGTCTGATAGATCTGGTTTGTGCTACCGTAAATCAATCTGTTGATTGTGGACTCGCTATGGTTTGCTATCATGTCCCCCCACACATTCATAGACTAAAAACAGTCACAGTTGGTCGATAATATTCTTTTACTTTTAATTTGTACTCATACATATTTTCTGTGTAATTTTTTTTACTCAGCTGCATGTCATAAATTGATTTGTTCATAATAATGCCCGGAATTGCTAAATTACACTTGGATGATTCGCTGGAAGACGGTCCCCAGGTAAAGGAAATTGTTATTTTGAAAAAAAAAAAAAGAAAACTTGTTTGGTATCTTCTCCTTAGTCACTGATTTACTTCGAAGAAAATTATATTATAGGTTAATAATCACCATACTACTTGGTTAGCAGTTGTTAGTTTAAACTCTTTCATTTTTTTTTTGTTTGTTTTATTCTAATAATTCTATGTTTCGGGTTTTTTACTTCTAATGACGCAAGGACGACGATCGAAGAAGACAACATTCGATTATTCATTGGCTTCTTGACTAATTTTGATTTATTAAAAATTAAAATAATTTTAAAAATATGTATAATCATTAATTAATGAAACATTTCAAAGCTTGTTAAAATGTTTGCTTTTTTTTTTAAATTCATATTGTTTATTTATAAAATATTTTATTTAAGTAAGAAGATTGTAAAAATGTCAAGCCAAAAAAATAAACATTTCTTCGGTGTCAAACACCTGTCTTTTTTTTTTCTTAGTGAATTTGTTGATTGCTGTTTAAGTTAAAATAATTGTTTCATATATTTTCTTATTAATTGAACTTTAGATATTCTGTCATAATTTAATGAAATTAACATTTATATTATTTTTTTTAATCGTCTTTTGAATTTTAATGAAGTGTCTGGATATTTGTTAAAAAAGCCAATTCTTTCGTCAATAAAAACGTTAAAGAAATAATGAAGATGACTACTAAACTCTTCTTTCTGTCGTTGAAAACTTTTTTTTTTTTTAATAAGAATGAAAAATAACAGAATTATATTTTAAAATGGTCATTTATTTTTTAAAAGAGATTGAAATGAATTCGGCTGTCATTTTGTGATGCGTCTTTAGCGGAATTGGTCAAAAATGCTTTATTTATTTATTTTTACAGACTTTCTGTGGATTTTAGAAGTTGTTTGCCTTTATTTAAAAAAAATATTTTCGTTTCCTTTGATCAGAATATGAAAAAAATTCAACTGTTCTGTTACGCTTTTTCTTAAAAGTATATTTTTTTGTTTTGTTGATGATAAAACTCATCCCAGTTGTTGAGTAATGGTTAAAAAATTGTCCAAAAAATCGGTTAAATTAAAAAAAAAATTACTTGCACTATTTATATTATTCGGACTGTTATCCTCATCTTCATTGATGCCATATTCACAACGTTTCGGCTGTTGTACGCTCCGGCCTTCTTCAGGTGATTGGAATTTTAAAAACTATTTTCATTTTGCCATCAAACTCATAAAGTGAAGATACATCTGAAATAATTTCAAAATTACAGCAAAAGATAATTCTTTTACTGCTGCATTCATTTTAAAAATGTTTACATTTTTCTTTTATTTACTTTTTTTTTACTTTAACTATCAGTTTAGAAATGCAAATAAATTGTCTTTTATTTTTCATTTCACGTAGAGTTTTTTTTTTTTTTTAATGAATGCCTTGTTAAAATGAAGCATTCTAAATCAGATTTTATTAATTTAAAAACAGAAGTATCAATTTGTTTGTAAGTACAACAAAATCTGTTTCGTGTTTATTGTGTTGCCTTTTTGAAACTTCCTAAATAAATGTCTAACTTGTATTCTTTTCCTCCCAAGTGATTTTTTATGCCTTTCTTAGGGTAGAATTTGTAACTTAAATATTTCTTTTTGTTACATGAATTATCAGCAGAATTTTAAACTAAATTATACCAAGAATTAGTACGTTATTTGAAAATTGAGTCAGTGTTTTAAAATTTGTTTTGATTTTATTTTTAATTAACTCAAACTGCATTTTCTGTAACCATCGTATTCCTTCATCTCTGTTTTGTTTATAAATTCTTAATTGTTTTTAAATTTAACTAATTGCGCTTTCATTTGTGTTTGTTTTTTAAATACTGTTCATTTTTACAATCATTTTTTTTAATTTTAATTACTCAAATATTTCAATTTAAAGCAATCAATCAGAAGTGGATCAGAAATCGAGAAAGGTGACATCCGTGTCAGACAGGATATACGAGTTCAAGTCTCGTCGGGGGTCTTCTTTATTTTTGCTTGCTTTTCTTTAGAATAAAAATGATCGTTGAATGTAACGATCTGAGCAATAAAGTAAGTAGAGGGACACTCAAAAACTTTTTCAAATAACTTATTACTGATTATTACGTCTTTTTTAGGATTATGATTATCCTGTTTTAGTTTCATAACCTTATGTTCTGTATCGTACGGTAAATAAATTTGGTTTGTTAATAATAATAATTTTAATACCAACTGTCCGAGGTTAAAAAAGAGCCGACATCTTTAAAAATCTACGTCATTTTATCACTGTTTTTAGTGACAATAATCGGTTCATCTACGAAATATGCTATTTGCAAAATCTACAATTATTACAATAATTTAATACAATATTCACGAAGGCATTGTTTTTTTACATGGTTTGTTTTGTTTGTGTCTTACTTATATTTTTTTAGTTTTACTTACTACTTTTGTTGTTCGTGACACCAGTGTTTGGATTTTCACAATCACAATTGAAAAAAACCCATTTAAATGTAAAGAAAGAAAATGTATTTTGTACTAGTTTCTTTTTTTTTAACTTTTATGACCCGGATAGAATATAAAAATATTTTTACTTTAATATTTCTTAAAGATGTATCGGCAAAATCTCAGGTAAACTAAGCACTTTTTTTTACAAATTGATGTTATTGTTGTTAGTCAAATGACCATATTGATAGTTTGCATTGGGAGTTACTGTGACGTTTAACCGGTTCCCGTTAACTTGAAGTTTTCTTTATCTTACGAAGGTACAGTAAGATTCCATTTAAACATGATTTAAGAAGCTGTTTTCGCTTTTATTGGTAATATTTCCTTCTGAATATTTTGCCCCCCTCCCTCAACTCAGTTAATTAATTTGCTGCTGTATAGATAATGGGTTTCTGTTTTCTGTGGCCAGCTTATGCTGATATGTTTGATAGATAACGGTTAAACCTAGACTTGATCAGGTTAAAAAAATTGTAGCGATCAGAGAAGCAACCTCTTGGGAGTCGGTTCTACAAGTTGAGTGGAACTTACATCTCACCAAAGGAATACGAAAGGGATGAGGGTAGTTTGCTACAATGTGTGTGGCATGGCGGGTCTGAAGGTTAAGAAGATTGGTAGAACTAAAAAGAGTGTAGTCCATTTGAACTAAAAAGAGTGTAGTCCATTTGAACGCTCGCCATGGAAAAAAGTCATAGAGCATCAATATCTCCTCTGTGAGAAAAGGGTTGTAGGGTGGAAAATAATTTGTCACCCACAAGGACATGGAGATGCTTTTAGACTTTATAGAGATTGGAAAGTGAAGATTGTGCAGCTCCTGCCCATATATGACAGCAGTACTCCATTTTCAGCCTGATCTGATTCTTGTAAAGGTAGAGGATAGTAGGAGTTGTCTGGTACTTGCTGGAGTGGTCAATTATTTTTTTCTGTATCAATGCTAGAAAAAGAATTGATACAGACAAAAAGAGCCACCCTATTTTTTTTTTTTTTTTTTTTTTTTTTTTAAATATAGAACACCAGGCCATAAAAAATATGACCCACATGTTCAAAAAGATTGAGCAAATCAGTTTCCTGACATGAACTTGTAAGGATGTGCAGGGCATTTATCTCCCTTTGGTTAAGATGAAAACACATGATACTTTCTAAGTGATATCAGTTCGTGGGGTGAAAAAAACCTCAGTTGCTATTTAGCATGCATAGAGACAAGACATGTCTGTCCATGCCATGATAGGCCGCTATGGTGCTAGATATCATCTGAAGCCCACAGCAGTAGGGAGAACAGAAGAGCCTACAGAACACCTCAAAGTTTGTAGAATGTATCACCAGCCTGGCCATTTTCCCGTCAGGAAATATTACAAATAAGACTCTCTCGCTTCTTACCTAGCACCCCTCTTTTGGACATTTTTGAACTATTTTGAATTGTGAAATAAGCAAAATATTGAATATCACTTGCACTAATAGTTCTTGCTCAATAATACTCACTTGAATAGTAATCTGTATAGTGATCTGAATAGAGAAATAGTATAGTGAATAGAGTAGAAAATAGTGGTCCGTATAGTAAAAAAAGAGTAGAAATGGTGATCCGAATAGTAATAGAGGATAGAATAGAACTAGTGATTGTTAGTCGTCAGCTACTTCCTACATGTATGTGTTTCCTATTCAATAATAGGATTGCCTATGATTGATCTATGTTCAAACTCAAGTGTTGACAGTGACACTTTATTCCTATGTAACATTTAGTGTGAAATTGCAATTCACCATATTTGATGATTCAAGTGTACTAGCTTTGTTCAACTACTGATCACGCCAGGTTATATGCTCTCTGCGAAAAACTGTAACTAAGGTCTGCACAGCATATAATTGATTTGTTTTTTTTTATGGCTTATCACCCTTTTGCAGGTTATTTAAAACCAGAAAATATATTTAGATTGTAAGAAGATTTGCTGATACAAGTTACACTAATTAACCCATAGCTGGAAGGAGAAGAGGTGGATTCATACCTTTTCCAAGGTTATTTGTGCGTAAGTGAATATAACAAACCTGACTGGAATTAGAACTTGGCTCTTCGATTTCTGATTCCATGCCATTATTTATTACACCAACCGCACATCCAAGCTTACAGCATGTGGTATTCCCAAGTGGTCATCCATCTAGGTACTGACCAGGCTTGATGTTGCTTAACTTTGGTGATTGTATGAGAACCAGTGTTTCAATGTGATTTAGCCTTAAGCCTGCTCAGCATAATTGCAACATAAAGTTGATTCTATGGTTGTTGAAGCAATACAAATGTAGCTCATGAGGTTTCTACAACAGGGAATATCTAACCACTTTAGAATCTGTAGAGTCTCTGGGGACTGACAGATGCTTTCAATTTGAAAGATTTCTTTTTCTTTTCTTTTCTTTGAAAGTAGGAGTGTTTATTTAAGTTGCAAGTTCAACATCCAATTTGACTGAAATAGCTTGTAAGCAAAGATCAGGAGAAAACAAATCCACAGATGATGATAGCAGTCAAGCTGCTGTCCATCAAACTGACAGCAGATATAAGAGAATGCTCTTCACTTGATTTAAGCTTGGTCCAACTACAGATCATCTGTTATTGACCAACAACCAAGCATTACTGTTTCCATACAAATCGTTACTGCAATCTTGGTTACAACATCACCTGCATTGTCTCACTACATTCTTCAAATGGCCAATTATGAAAGCAGAAAGCATGAACTGGTCAACAAATGCTTCAAGGGTGAAACTCATTGTTCCCATTGCTCCTGCTTATCTGATTAATTTCTACAGAATCTTCTTCTTTCAGGATGAGGCTCTCTACAACCTCCTATTGCTTGTAGCACTGAGCAATTTATTTTTCTCTTTGCCAAACCTCCCACCCTTTGTTCTGCCATCTATTAACACAAGCTCATCAGATAGGTGGCCTACTGCCTTCCTTAGTGCCCCTTGCTCTCAATATGCCCTGTGAGTATCAAATTCTTCAAGCACTCTTTCCTCATTCATGCTTGTCTGATTTATTTCTACATAGTCTTTATTTATACAATGCTGTTAATAACTGTAATTCAAAAAAATATATGGAATTAAAAATTCAGAACCTCAGAAACAAGCTGGACAAAGTTTTTTTTTATTGAGAGATTGGAAGTTTTGAATCCTGCGTTCTTTGATGCATGATTTTTGAAAATCCAAGATAGATTAAATGAGATACATTGCTAATTATTATAAAGTCTTTAAAGACAATGATTTCTAATACATTGACACATGTATTATGATGTAACATAAATAGTATTATCACTTGGTCATTAAAGTATGTGCAAATAATATAATGAGTAATAGAGAAATTGGCATGCTGAGGTTTCATTCACTTCACACTAATACCTTAGAAAAATGTATGAATTAATCTCCTCTCTCTAGCTGTGTGTTAAATAGCTGGGTAGACTGAACACTCTTGCCTTGGGTGGCAGTCAGTAAGAGAAGGAGAAAACTGAATTCAAACCCTCATAAATAATAAGGTTGACTAGGTTCTTTAGCCTTGGTATGGCATTCTGTCTAGGTGAGTGAAAACTCTGAATTCAAAAACTGTTTGAAGAAGGATGGTCTCTATCAGACTAATCTTGCCCTAGGTAGTCCTACTACTGCACTATGTGTGCTGCCCCAATGACCATAATAGTTTATGATACTTGCAGTGTATTCAAAAAAAGGGATACCCAATGCTTTACAGTACCAACTACCTATGATAGATTACTTTCTTTTTTTTTTTTTTTTAATCATTTCATCCCAAACAGGCAATAAAGCCACTAATATGCAAGGGGTTACTGAGTATGAGAGAATATGAATAAAAGATGTTATTAAGGAGAGAGAACAATAAAAGGACAGGAAACAGAAGATAATGATTAACATAGCATTTAAAAACTTAAGATCAAAGTTGACTGGAAAGCAAGAAGCCAGAAGAGTGTTCCATAAATGAGAAGTGAGAGAAGAAACTGTTAGCATATAATTTTACATCTAGTGGTAAGCTATCTCAATTGTAAAATGATGACATGGTTAGATGTAACCATAATTCTTACCCAATTCTTTCTAGAATTCAGTAAGTATAGGTAAGGTGTAACAATTTTAGAACCTGGATTGACTATGATTTGATTGAGGCATTTTCCACTTTGAATTTACTCGGCAGTCTTTTGTAAAGGCTTTGAGTAACAGTTTGATATTGGCTAAAGTCTGAACAAATGTGCAACCAAGAAAAATGACAACTGTAAAAACTTATAATATTTATTGTCAATATATCTCTGGATTTTTATTTCTGAAACGTGGAAACTTTAAACAATTTTGTATAACGATGTGCGTATGCACTCACTTCTAAAGATGAGATTTTTGCAATATGGTAATAATAGCTTTATATTGACAATAAGATGAATACTGATAGTCTCTCCACCAATGAGAAGAAGCAGCAGAAATGTAGTTCTACAGAAGGATGCTGAGAATTCCATGGATGGAGTGAGTAAGCAACATGGAAGTCTTAAAATGTCAAGAGGCAGAGAAGGAAAAGGGGAATGGAATGTTGTTGGTAAGACTAAAAGGAAGTCCCAGTCAGTGGGGACCTCTGTCCCCAGAACCCCCTATGGGTAAAGCCAAACACAGCCCCACTCCTTCAGTTCCATGGTCAATTCCTAGACCTGCTATACCAAACAATTCAGAAACTAGCAATTAAAATACGAACCAAGATTCGAAAATGACGAAACATTGCGACAATTGAAGGAGTCTTAAAAAGCTAAATGTGAACACTCTGCACAAAAAATTGGTCCTTCTTCCTCAGCACCGTTTTCCTCAACAATCAAACAGCACTCCATGGCACTACCTCCAATGGTAAAAATCATGAACCCCTTCCAAAATGACCACCCTTGAGAAGGCTCCCATTCCTAAATCTCCAGCAAAGAAAAAAGTTTACTCCTGCCAACACCCTTAATCCATCCTCTGCCCAAACTCCCATCAGCTCACTCCAAAAATCTGATCAACAAAAACGGCAAAGAAATCCCTCTACAAACTCAAATGAATCAGCTATAAAGAAAAATTCAAAACCTATATACAATACTGAGAAAGACGCATACCGGGTAACAAAGGAGTAGGAAGAAAAGGCAGCAACACAGTCCAGAAAGGTCAAAGATTTTAAATATTTAATTAAAATGAAAACAGTGAATGAAATGGATGTGAAAAATCCCCCAATTTTTCCAAAGAATATTGACTGTGGTAAGATCTGGTGTGGAAGCCCAATGAATATGGTTGATGATTGAGGAGGCAAACCATATTTTTGGAATGTTTCCTCCTTTAGCTTTCTTTGATGATGCAAATGCAAAAAGATTTAATCAATTTTGGATGCTCCCACTTTTTGTTCAGCCTTCCTTGTATAGAGCTCTAAAAATGATCTTCCGCTGGGACATTGATGTCCTGTTTCCTGATAGTACCATCAAGAGTGAGTTGGGACAGGTTGTTGGTGTCCTCATCCTGGCCATGTTCAATGTAGAATAGCAACCCTAATCAGTCTGATAATAGCTAGTGTGAATGCCTGGGGCCTGAGGTTGGAGCCTCACATGGCAAGGCTCACTTGCAATCTTCAGCATCTTGGTTGGGAGTGGGGGAATAAATTGTGTACAGAAGACCTGGTTTTCAAGTCATAATCATGAAAGTATTCTGTTTAAGGGGTTTGCCCTCCATTCAGCATGTTTTGTTGGACAGTCGAGAGGAATTTCCTGGCTGGTGAGCAAGTCTTTAGAGGTTGCATTTGTTCTTGTCTTCTCAGATCTGGTGCACAGGCTTGGTGTGTTGGATGTTACTGCTTATACACCCAATGAGCATGTTGAGTGGCCTGATTTGTCTAGGTGGATTAAGCCGTTTTTGATGACATTTTGTCGATTATTTTTTGCAGGGGATTGACCCTGACATAGATCAATCATATAGGAGAAAGATCAGCTACTAACAAACATGATGTGAAAACATTTCCATGGTCTACCCTATATAGGGCCCCCAATTTTCTTTTCCAAATTTTCCTTGATTCCATTTCAACTTTTGGTAAATTCTGTTGTTTTTCCATTTTTACTTTTGGAAAATTTAATTTTTTCCATTTTTATGGTATTTTATGAGAAAATTGCAATACGTTATGCTATAATTATTATTAAAACTGGAAACAAAAATATAATTCAAAGTTTTATTGCATATAAAGAAATAGCAAATATCTACAAATCTTATTTTAAATGTTAAAATCCAAGTACAAAAATAAATTATATGTAAAAAAAATAATAAAATGTAACATAACTAGACAGTAAAACAATGGAATGTTACAGTGCATATCTTTGAGGTAGAACTTTTAATCAGAGCTTTCTTCTTTAAGGACATGTTCAAAACAAATTCAAATTGTTTTTGTTTTTCTAAGTAAAAGGATTTAGATTGATTTATAATTGATTCATAATATAAAAATCACATTTAAACTATCAACAGCAAATAACTTAATAAATATCTGAATAAAGTCAAAGATTTTTGATTAAAATTTTACAAAACAGTAATTAAACCAGGAGGTACGGTGGAATAATGGATAATGGCTTGGATTGAGGAATCGGAGAGCTGAGTTCAAATTCCACTCGAATCCATTACATTCACTTACATGCTAGTATGAATCCTCTTCTCCCAACCCCCAGCTATGGGTAAATAGCAGGACAGACTGGGTTCTATAGCCTTGGATGGCAACTGGTCTACCGCAGAAAGAAATGGCACCTACTGTGGGAAAAAAATCTGCCTCATCAGTCATGTATCAAAAGATACATGATCGTCTAAGCATGTATCATGCATGGCATCTAACTGACTGAATTAAACCATAATAACTGGATCTTTGTAACAAAATATCAAAAAACAAATTAGACATATTAGTTCAAAATTTAAATAAAACAGCTTATCCCAAGTTGAAATGCAGATCAAATTTAAAATTGCTAATTTCTTAATTTGGGAAATATCTAATCTTCAAATTTCTTCTCTAACTTTCCATTGTAATACAACATTATGAGTTGCTTGGCATTCTCAGGGGTAAGACTTTCATGTTGTTTATTGAAAAAATGATGTTCAGCATCTATATGACCTTATTGGCAATCTGTTCCAGAAGAGGAAATCTGCTCTTATTTGCATTCCAAAATGATGGCATATTAAAAGGATTTAGTAAATCATTTTGGTAATTC